CAGACGGACATGGATAAATCAACTCAGCTCGACGTTCTGATCAAATAAGTATACATTTTAATGGGTCTATCTCTTTTTGTTCTGGTACTTACAAACATCGGACCAAAGTTATAATACCATTTCATGCTCATGAAAGGTATAAAAATATATCTAGTATGGTACAGTCGTGCCTCTTTTGTCAGCTTTCACATGACTGGGGTGAGTAACATTGATGTAGAGTCCGACCGATTCCAATTTTTTTTCAGGCACCGATGCCGATGCCGATTAATCGGCTTATGGGGAAAGAATCGGCCGATGCCGATGCCGATTCCATAAAAAATTACAAATAAATGTATTAATTCATAAAATCAGTACATTTCACGGAGTTAAAAAAAAAACAAAAGAAAAGAAATAATTGAATTAATTGGCTTGTTATGCAACATTACATACACATGTATGTATGATATGTATGTGTAAAAATATATGTACATATATCACATTATGTACATTACATAAAACACTTTTTTATATGGTGCTAAGCAAAAAATATTTAGGAACATAAAATTTCATTTCGTTTTGTACTAAAATACACCCTTTTGCACTCAATGCATAAGAACTTATATGCTAGGTACTAGGGCATTCAATCCCGGGATCCAGAATCCCGGGATTTCGGGATCCCGGACACTTTTCCATGTCCCGAAATCCCGGGATTACAGCTCCGGGATCCCGAGGTTTTTCTGAGTTATTTACGGAATAAAAGAGATGCTGAAAACGAAAAAATTTATTAATTTTACATGAAAAACTAAATATACAGATCATCAAAATTTTGATTCAAAGTGAACATGTGCCATTTGCACTTGGACGTGAATTTCAGAACCTGCCTGAATTACTGTACTTGTTCAAACATTTTTTGGAAGAATTGTGTAATAACGAAAAATCTGGTAGCAATTGATAACACAACAAGATTTTACAGTGTGGAAGGGTTGTTCCTCATTTTACTTTGTTGGCGTTTTGTGTAAAATAAATTTCTGTAGATATTAGTAAGGTGTTTTTACAATCAATATATATATTTAAGAATACTATAAAAGTATTCAGACATTAAATTACGGACTCTTTTACTGACGTGCATTATGCTCCCTGTAAGACCAAAAACAGTGACAATGAATCTGTGTGGTTTAAAAAAGGCGAACCTACTGTTAAATGCAAAAGTTGTGATAAAGCCCAAATCCCGAAAAATCCCGGGATCCCGGGATTAGAATTTTTGGATCCCGAAATCCCGGGATTGTTAAAATGCTTCGGGATTGAATGCCCTACTAGGTACGTATGTACCAGGGATGTTGCGAATGTGGAATTTTAGACATCCGCGGATGCGAATGCGGATGCGGATGTTTAAACGCTATCATCCGCGGATGCGGATGCGAATGCGGAAGTCAAGTATTTTTATACCCGAGCGCACTTGTGCACAAGGGTTTTATATATTTGTTCACATAACGGTTGTTTATAACAGCCAAAACGAATCGAGAAAGATATAGACAAATATATACATAAATGATCAGAATGAAAAGAGAAATCGATTAAGCGGTGGCTGTCTGTCCGTCCGTCCGTCCGTCTGTGCACACGATAACTCGAGTACAAATTGAGATATCTTAACGAAACTGGGTATGTGTACTTCTTTTGAGCGGTGGACGGATGGTACTAAAAATGGGCAAAATCAGACGATAACCACGCTCACCTCCCATAAGACGGCAGTTTTGAGAAATGCGAAAACTGCGATATTTTATTAACTACTGAAGCTTATTCACTCAAAATTAATATTTACAATCATTTTTAGGCGAAAAATAAGAATATTATAAATTTTTGGAAAATGGGCGTAGCCACTCCCACTTATGATTACATGTGTATATCTTGGGAACCGCTCCACCAATTTCTCCCAAACTTGGCACAGTTGTTGGCCTTCACAAAACACACCAAACGGCATAAAATTTAGAAAATCTGATAATAGCCATGCCCACATCCCATATAACGATATTTTAGAGAAATACCAAAGCTTCTATAAATCAGTAAATACTGGAGCTAATTTATTCAAAATTAATTTTTGCAATAATTATTTAGAAAAAAATTGGCTTATAAGAAAAGATTGGAAAATGGGCGTGAACCCGCAAACTTATAACCACCGCTCTATCAATGTGTACCAAACTCGGTATGATTATTGTGGTTGCCACATAAAGGCAAAACGTTGAAAGTTTTGAAATCTGACTAAAATTACGCCCACTTTTTTATAACGGTAAATTTCAGAAATGTTTGAAACTTTGATATTTCGAAATTTAAGGAAGCTAACTTTACCAAAAATTTATATTAACAACAATCCCTTGAAAAGAAGTAACATTATTATGGAATTTTGGAAATCGGACGTGGTGCCGCAGACATATATCTATATAAGTTTATCTCATTACATCTAACTGAACGTTCTACCGAAGATGTTTAAAATAGACGTAAAACCACCACTGCTTACCATGTAGCGGTAGTCTTCGGAAAGGTGAAAAAAACTATATTGAATACTTGCGCCGGGTATTTAATGTTCGGCTCCGCCCGAACTTTGACTTTTTTACTTGTTAAGAAATAATTTAGGTGAGTAAATTAGGTGATTTATTTAAAAAAAAATGGAAAGGTTAGTAATTTTTAATAATGTTTTTTTTAGTATTTGAATTTAAAAATTGGAACATTGTATTCAATAAAAAGTTTTTAAGGGTCGTAAATCAAACCTGCGCCACTAAATAACTACTCGCTCGAGGCGACAAACTTGAAAAACTTTAAACTTGACAAAATTGTAAATTCTTTTCGATTGACGCTGCACCAGTTGAGAGGTCTTTCAGTTATATTTATTTTTTTTATTGCGGTGCAATAATTCTTTTTTGAGAATTGCATCGGGCTGCAAATGTCGGATATATCCTCCTGACTTTCATCTTAACAATCTTGCATTATGGCAAGATCGTGGTTTAAACACCGTTGATTTCCAAAGAATTCTTCATTCTCATTCTTTTGGTTGTTTCTGAATTTGGAGAACCTGTAAAGTCAACAGCGTTTTTCGATTTTGTTTTTGTAATTCATTTTTAATCCTTTCTTCTGTGACTGAAATAGCTTTTAAGCAGAAATAACGAAAAAAGGTTACCACCTCTATTTGTATTTTTTATCATTTAATACTAAAGAAATTCATATACCAGACCCAAGGTTTGATCTATGGTAATTAATTAACATTTTTTATTAATATATTTTTCAATGGGTGGCTTTGCTCGTTTAGACATTTCCTTCATTTGGTACCAAACTTGTTTAATTTGGATAAGAGGTTTGCTTATTATCCGGAAAAGTCTTTTAATTGGGAATAAAAAATATTTGGCCAAGTTTAACTGTTAAAAAAAAAAAACTGTTATTTTCGGTCCCTTCAATATTCGCATTCGCAAAAGATCCGCATTGATAATTGCGAATACGAATATTAATATTAATGCGGAAGGCTCCGATTTTGCCTTTTTTATTTAATGTTTATTTTTATTTTTTTTATAAAAGTCTAGCTGGTATACAACAAACACCATATAAATTCAGATTTCAAACTTTGTACAAAAATTAGAAAAATTCTGCTTATTTTCACCAAAATTTCAAACTTTTTAATCTGAATTTTGGTATGGAGTTTTGTAGACCATTTCATTCTAGTATAATGAAGTGCAAGTGTTCTCCATGAAAATAATTTTTGTGAGCTGTCTGCAAATGTTTTTTAAAGTTGGCTGTCGCGTANCTGCTTATTTTCACCAAAATTTCAAACTTTTTAATCTGAATTTTGGTATGGAGTTTTGTAGACCATTTCATTCTAGTATAATGAAGTGCAAGTGTTCTCCATGAAAATAATTTTTGTGAGCTGTCTGCAAATGTTTTTTAAAGTTGGCTGTCGCGTAACCTGAACATTTGAAAAGAAATTCCAAAGAATCGGCAAAGAATCGGCGAAAAAAGGCCGATGCCGATGCCGATGCTCAATTTTGTGCCGATACTAGCCGGTGCCGATTAATCGGTCGGACTCTACATTGATGACAGCGCAACTAGCAACATATGAATTTCAACCGCCCAGCTCTGCATCCCTTTTGCGGTAGTTCAGAGACAGTTCTGAATTTTGTAGGGCGGAACTAGCGCTTTGCCAGACTGTCCCTAAATTTTGCTGCAGGGCAGTCTTGTGTACAAGTGCGTACGTGTACAGAAATTACTGTGGTAATTATTTATGTTTTTGTATCTTTGTGTGTCCAATATTTGATGTGCAATCAATTTATAAATTTAAGTAGTTAAGTCCGAGTTTAGAAGACAACATGATGTTCTGCAGGTGACTCTTAATAACGAATGGGGGGAATGATTTACTTACAATTGATCAGTCTTTACGTTGATGGAATTCTTATCTATTCGAGTTATTTGATTGTTGTCTAGATCACTGAAAATTTGTTTAAAAATATTAGCAAAAACATACATAGAAAGAAAAAAGACATATGGTTGCTTACATCATTTGTAAAATGTTTTCAGATTGAATGTGCCGCAAATCCGGGACTCTTATTAGTCCACTATTAATAATTCGTCTGAAATGAAAAGATGGTTAAAAAATGAGAAAGGCAGTGAATTGGCAGAGTTCGGACTTTATTTAAATGCCCTGTTTTCAGAAAAGTCAGGGAGTTTCCTGAATAAATAGAAGTTCTATTCCATACTGTAATAACACAGAAGTAGGACGAGCCTGCCTAAAACTGGTCTCATATTGAAGAATAATCAATTTCAAAGAAAAGTTGTGAAAACGGAGAAAAAATCTCTATTAATTTGGATTTTATCCCACGTTTTATCAAACTACATGAAATTTATGCTAATTATTTTGATTCACTTGAATAGGCACAGTGGCTTTAACACAAGTAGGGATGTTGCGATACTACTGATATAATCTTGGTATCGATACTTTGGTTTCGATACTGGGTAAACCAGTATTCGATACTAGGGTGACGATACTATTGATACCCATATGGGTATTTTCTTTCGATACCGTTTGATGTATCAAAATAAAATCAATATCAATATCATCTTCATACAAGCCATATTGTTCCTAGAATTCTATTTAAGTAAATTTCCTGATTAGTGACTCTATGTTATCGTTTGCGCGATATTTTATTTCCTATGCCCATCTAGTAGCGATACTTGTATGGCATCGTAATGTATTCAAACCGTATAAACCAGTAGTGGGCATTTCATATCACGCGCACAGCTCAACTGAAATTTTTCAAATTTATTTTCGGAAGACTGTCATCCAGATTCCACATAAAGTTCCAGCAAATGTTGCTCTACGCAATTCCCGATCTGCGGTCGTCGCATTTTCAAACCTCCGAGTGTACTTCTGCCATGAAATCGCTTCTCATAAAAACCATTTGCCGTTCGGAGGCGACCTCGAAATTTAGGCCCCTTCATTTTCGTGACAAGATCAACACACACATTTTGGAAAACATGATTCCTAACTCGTTTTTTGGATGCATTCAAAAAACTAGCAAAAGGGCAGATAACTATTATAGGAGTATGTGTTGAAAGCCTGAAAGAATTTGTAATAGTTTTCAAATTTAGCAACTGTTAGGCCCGATTTCAGATGGTCTACTTAAGTAGAGATTGTTGTTTAATTTCCACTATTCCTTTTCAGATCATACATTTAGTCTGCACTTAAATGGCCAATTTTGCTATTTAAATATGAGATGTGCAACCCTGTGTTTATACCAAACAACCAAGATTGAATGGTAGGTTGTTTAAACAATCCCACCAAATCCCACCTAAAACAATCAGCTGTTCAGCAGAAAATGTAAACAAACATGCAAATGCAACAACAATTCCAAAGAATAAGCTGCAGTGCTGCCAATTGTTTGGCATAAATGGCATTTAAACAACAATCCACAATTAAACTTAAGTGCCGTTTAAATATTCATTTGAAATTGGCCCTTAGACTATAACATCCTTACTTTTGACGAAAAAACTCAGCCTTAGAGAGCCTTTACTTACTGACCTGCTCACTTTTTATTATTATAACCAATTTACCAAGCTCAGGAAGAAACAAACAGTAACTCCAGGCATTTTTCGTTTTAATAAGACCCGATAAATAAGCTGCTTAATTTTAACGGGATTTGTTAAACTTTTTGAAAGATATTGTTAAACTTTATTTTTCGGGGGCGGCAACACTGATTACATTGCCGAACAAACAAACGAAATTCAGCCAATGAATCAGTCTGGCACATGATTCAACCACTACAGGTTGTAGCAGTCGTACAAATCAACATTTACCGTTGGTATGAACTCCTTGTGTCATCAACATGTTCTTTATCTATTAATATTCGTATGTATATGTATACCCTGCATACCAGGATTTCATAGAATTCTGAAAGGTTTCACAATTTTTTTTATAATTTCCTTTAAGAAATCGTACAGATATTTCTTTACTAGGTCTTGTCAACCGCTTCATATGTTTTTCTTTAAAGATTTCTAAAAGAATCGTAACAAATTTCCGACACTTTTAAAGATTTCGGGAGCATTTGTTTGCAGGGTATATATAGACGAATATGTGTATGTATACGCGGAGATGTAAATAAAGCAAAACAGACGATAATTTGACACAAGCGTGCTCATAAGAAGAAGCATAGCTTCTGTCGCTATCACCTGTAATTGATGCGCCTTGGTCTGGCATAAGCTCTTACCGAGGCACGATGCAAGAATACAAGGTGGTATCAGTTGTGACAGCTCGATTTCACACTGCCTTAGCTCAGTAGAGTAGGAAGAAAAACGGGAAGAAATTAATCCCCATTTTGGGGGAAAAATATAAAATTTCATGTTTTCTTTTAAACAAAAATTACTTTTTTATAGTATATTTATTCGTAATGAAATGAAATAAAATAAGATAAAATACCTTTTTGAGAAAACGAAATGTGTATACTGAGAAAAAATAAAAAAAATTTAACTATATTATTAGGCAAAGAATTGTTAAAGAAGTAGCACTGTTTCACCTAAGGCAGTCAATATGGCGGAATTAGAGCGAGAAGTTGCCAACCGATAACTCCTTGTATTATTGCATCATGTTACCGAGGCATGTTGCATTGTTTGCGCGCTCATAGCGCGCAGTTTTTGACGAAAATTAGGAGTTGTGCTTGCGCTTTTTTATAAGTTTTTATTTAACTTGGTCATCCCGCGGAAATCGTGGATATTTCCAATCGATTTTAAACTAACTTCCAGACAAGTTAGAGACTTGAAATATTCAGCATAGTTCCAATCACGATGACAATGCAATTTAGTATATAAATGAATTCCTCATATGGTCCAGAGCTCTTGATTCAAAGGCGGCCAAAAAATAGTAAGATTTATGGCTAACAGAGCGTAATTTGCCAAAGAACGTAAAACCACTATAAAATTGTTAAAGCTGTCGGCGATAGTGTAGCAAAGCTATTTGTGGCAAATTCTAGATATGAACCTCGTTGTAGGAATTAGAAGGCTCCAGATGTCACCCCGCCAGAAGAAGTTAAATATTGCTCCAAAATATATGCCATTTACATATGCTACAGAGGAAATCGACGACACGCCATTTCTTTAAATGAAATTAACAGCTGCTATATGTACATATGTATGTTTATACAAAACGTAAGCAAACAACATTTTGCTTGCATGGTCTTCTGTTCTCTTTCATTGCAAGTTGAATTATTTTAATATCTATTGCAAAATTTTGTACATAAAATAAAATAACACTTTTTAATATACAACGCTTTTATAAATGGACTAAAAATTAGAAAATAAAATAATGTAAAAAAAAAAATATTTTTCAAAAACAAGCCTTTATTTAACATGTACAATCAAAGGAATAAAATAAAGTAGTGTAACAAACGATTTTTTAGCAAGAAAATTTTGTCAAAACTGCACTAAAATGAATAAAATAAAATAAGTTAAGGTCTCGTTAAAGTTACTAAAAGCCATTTAGTGAAAGGAGTTATTCAAACTCTAATGAAAATTACTAACAATTTGTACTCACTTTTAAAAAAGCTTGTCGGCGAATTCAGCGTACATGCATAATTGGTTAGGTATGTATATGTATGTATGCAGATATGTAAATGCCGGTTTGCGATTCGCGCGCCAACCTTTTTTAAAAACGAAGTAAATTAGTACAAATTGTTAGTAATTTTCATTCGAGTTTGAATAACTCCTTTCACTAAATGGCTTTTAGTAACTTTAACGAGACCTTAAATTATTTTATTTTATTCATTTTAGTGCAGTTTTGACAAAATTTTCTTGCTAAAAAATCTTTTGGCACACTACTTTACTTTATTCCTTTGATTGTACATGTTAAATAAAAGCTTGTTTTTAAAAAATATTTTTTTTACATTATTTTATTTTAATTGCAGAAGCGTGCGCGTACAACCTCCTCGTTTCAACTAAAATAATCGACTGAATGGCAGTGATCGAACTTAATAAAAATTCTCTGTGGTAGATTCTGGAAAAAAATTTGGTAGATTTGGAAAAATGTGGTAGATCTCAGTTTTGGATCAAACTTGTTACAAAAATAAAAAAAGGTTTCACCTAAACTGCAAAATTTTTAATTAGAATCTCTAGAAAAAAACTTTTAGCTTGGGTTTTGCTGATTTTGACAATTCTCAAGTAAAAGTAAACAACGCCTTAAAAATTTAAGATGCACTGGAATGTGCTAATACTTTCACAAAAGTCGCCGATTTTTAGGAATTGAGAAAATTCTTTGTTTGAAAGTTTCTTTTCTCCTCCCATTCGGCTTTGTTTACTTTTACTTGAGAAATCTCATCGCCGCACAAAGGGACGAATCGACAATATAGGACGACAAAAATGTTTACTCCATATGTATTTGACAGATTTCAATGAAGTTGGTAGNTTGTTTACTTTTACTTGAGAAATCTCATCGCCGCACAAAGGGACGAATCGACAATATAGGACGACAAAAATGTTTACTCCATATGTATTTGACAGATTTCAATGAAGTTGGTAGTTAGGGATTTTCGTCGTCACTGAATTCGAATATTAAATTAAATTTCCAAAATTCAAAATGGCGGATCCAATATGGCGGACGATTTATTAAAAAATTTAAAGATTGTTATGAAGCTTGGTATCCAGAGATTTTCGTCGTTACTGATTTCCAAATTGATATTATATTTTCAAAAATTCAAAATTGCGGATCAAATATGGCGTCCCGAAAAATAGGCGTTTTACTTTTAGCGCAATGCATTACCTTTAGCACCATTTTAACCCATTTTGAATTTTGAAAATTTAATTTCAATTTCGTAATCAGAGATAACGAAGATCTCTGAATACCAAGTTTTATAACAAACTATAATTTAAAAAAAGTGGTCCGCCATATTGGATCCGCCATTTCGATTTTTGAAAATTTAATATCAATTTCGAAACCAGAGGCGACGAAAATCTCTGCATACCAAGCTTCATAACAGTCTATACATTTTTTAAAATAGCTTCCGCCAAATTGTATAAGCCATTGTGAGTTTTGAAAATTTGATATCAATTTCGAAATCATTGACAACGAACACCCCTGGATACCAAATT